TTCGTTAATTAATTTGGCTAAAATTTGGGATAACCTTTTCTAAGCAGTTTTTTCAGGCTTGCTTAGAGCTGCAAAGCTGCTTAGGAACAGTTGTCCCAAATTTTAGCCAAATTAATTAACGAATCTCATTAAACTTACGCTTGTTTTAATCAGTAAGATCAGCCGCAAGCTGGTACAGAGCCGGATTTTCCATTTTGGCTCTTAAAAAATTTATAATAAATAAATTACGGACTCGCAGCTAAGCAACCCGACAGAGGTCGGTAGTGTTACTCCTGTCGACCCTTAATCCAGTTTCTGATTGGTCAAAGAATAAGATGACTACTGCGCATCCTTGGAGTTGCTACACCTATCTTCTTACATCATGGTAGGCTCCTTTCTTGTCAGCTTGTTTTTTTTGTAAACACAAGCTGCACAAAGCTAACCCCAAAGCTCTTGCAATATATATTTCTTTTCTTGCTCAACAGTTATGTCGGTTTTGTATATTTAATATATATGTGTGACAAAAAAAAATATTGCAAAGCAGATTAAAAAATCGTATAAATTGCTCATTATGGCGTTGTCAAGAGGTAAGTGAACGACTTTGCAAGTCTTCAGGATATGTGTCAACACGTGACCACACGTGACTGCATAACCTGTTGGTTATTCTACGAAGTCGTAGTCGTGAGTTGTAAGAAATTGTCTAATCACATTCGAAGTTGACGAGAATATTCAATCTGTGATTGGTCAATTTCTTACAACTCACGACTACGACTTTTATGTAAAATAACCTTTATATACATACAATCTGTTGTAATGATAATTTGGTTGACGGCACGTTAAACTAAACAAAAATAATGATAATTATGCATTTTTTACAATAATTTTTACTACATACATTTTATTCATACATTTAATGCATGCATTATTTATATAGTTAATATGTACATTATTTATATATTTAATGCATAATGCATACATTATTCATACATTATTAATACACTTATATAATGCATACATTTTACAGAATTATTAAAGCGATTAAACTCGGATGACTATCCTTTGGCGAAGCGATTAAAATTAGCGGAAACAGCTTTTTGTACGGTGGATTTGCCACTCACTCGGAAAGAGGATTTACTTCTGAAGTGGCTGTGCAATAGTTGTGCTACGAATCAACATGCTTGGCAAACTTTGAATAATTGTTTGAAGTTTGACCATATCAATATTAGGCCCGATGTAAAACAATGTTTGATCGATGTACTTGTGCAAACATTAGAGAGCGATATGGAAAACATATATGAGGAGGTCCTCCAATGTTGCACTTTAGTTCTCACTAATAATAGTATACGACAATATTTTACAAACAAGCCGAAGATTCTAGGTCTGTTAATGAAAGCCCTGTTAAACAACGTGTTAAAACGTTCCAGCTATGGTAGTGTCACGCAAGAGGAATGCAGTCAATTGTTTGAGCCATGTAAATTGTCTCCAACCGAAAATAATGCTATAATAAATATTATCGAAAGTCTAATGCAAATATATAAACAGCTAATTACTACGAAAGATGAACTGAGATTAATTTTTATACAGGATATTTTATATCCTATGTGCAGTTTGGTTGATCACACGCATACAGACAATAAAAACCAGCTTGGTATAGCAGCGTATAAGTGCATCCAACAGTTGTTGTTAGGAAAAAGCAAATCTATACAAAATAAACAGATTGTAGAAAGTAATCAAGCAATGTTCTCAGACTTATTTTGTGTGTTATCCGAACACGTGAAGACATCAAATCTTCAGAGCAATCTTTTAACTTATCAATTTATTTTCCGTACCATAATAGGTACTTATAAATCGAATGCTGCTTTGTTGGATATGTTCTTTAGAAATCTAATCAACTCCTCTGGAAAGTATAAGTGGGAAATCATGGATTCTTTCCTCAAATTACTGAATGACATAACGCTCGATTTTGATAATATTATAGATGATATAACATTGACCGAGTACTTCCAGAATTTTATAAGTGAGATTTTGACGCTCGACGACGTAACACGTGTGCATTATAGAGTGCTTGCACAACTTTCGTATATCAATCCACTTTTGATAGAGAAAAACATCTCAGATATCTTAAATAAGATACTTATGAAAGAACAAACTGTTGATTACAC